AATGAACAAGGAGGCTTTAGGAAAGTAGGGGGTGTTGGGCCCGGGGATTACAGTGAAACAAAATAAGTGAACAGTATTTAGATAAGGCTAAAGAGGTCTTTGTGGCATTTGTGATTTGGAAAAGGCGTTGACAGGGTGGATAGGGGGGCAATGTGGCAGATGTTGCAGGTGTATGGTGTGGGAGGTAGGTTACTGAAAGCAGTGAAGAGTTTTTACGAGGATAGTGAGGCTCAAGTTAGAGTATGTAGGAAGTGGGGAAATTATTTCCCAGTATAAGTAGGCCTTAGACAAGGATGTGGTTGTTTAATATATTTATAGATGTGGTTGTAAGAGAAGTAAATGCGAGGGTCTTGGCAAGAGGCGTGGAGTTAAAAGATAAAAAATCACACATAAAGTGGGAGTTGTCACAGTTGCTCTTTGCTGATGACACTGTGCTCTTGGGAGATTCTGAAGAGAAGCTGCAGAGATTGGTGGATGAATTTGGTAGGGTGTGCAAAAGAAGAAAATTAAAAGTGAATACAAGAAAGAGTAAGGTAATGAGGATAACAAAAAGATTAGGTGATGAAAGATTGGATATCAGATTGGAGGGAGAGAGTATGGAGGAGGTGAATGTATTCAGATATTTGGGAGTGGACGTGTCAGCGGATGGGTCTATGAAAGATGAGGTGAATCATAGAATTGATAAGGGGAAAAGGGTGAGTGGTGCACTTAGGAGTCTGTGTAACAAAGAACTTTGTCCTTGGAGGCAAAGAGGGGAATGTATGAGAGTATAGTTTTACCAATGCTCTTATATGGGTGTGAAGCATGGGTGATGAATGTTGCAGCGAGGAGAAGGCTGGAGGCAGTGGAGATGTCATGTCTGAGGGCAATGTGTGGTGTGAATATAATGCAGAGAATTCGTAGTTTGGAAGTTAGGAGGAGGTGCGGGATTACCAAAACTGTTGTCCAGAGGGCTGAGGAAGGGTTGTTGAGGTGGTTCGGACATGTAGAGAGAATGGAGCGAAACAGAATGACTTCAAGAGTGTATCAGTCTGTAGTGGAAGGAAGGCGGGGTAGGGGTCGGCCTAGGAAAGGTTGGAGGAGGGGGTAAAGGAGGTTTTGTGTGCGAGGGGCTTGGACTTCCAGCAGGCTGCGTGAGCGTGTTTGATAGGATGAATGGAGACGAATCGTTTTTAATACTTGACGTGCTGTTGGAGTGTGAGCAAAGTAACATTTATGAAGGGGTTCAGGGAAACCGGCAGGCCGGACTTGAGTCCTGGAGATGGGAAGTACAGTGCCTGCACTCTGAAGAGGGGTGTTAATGTTGCAGTTTTAAAAACTGTAGTGTAAAGCGCCCCTTCTGGCAAGACAGTGATGGAGTGAATGATGGTGAAAGTTTTTCTTTTTCGGGTCACCCTGCCTTGGTGGGAATCGGCCAGTGTGATAATAAAAGAAAAAAAAATATGTATATACTGTATGTATATATATATAATATATATATATATATATATATAATATATATATATATATATATATATAAATATAATATATATATAGAGAGAGAGAAGAGAGAGAGAGAGAGAGAGAGAGGTGAAATTCCAAGCGCTTTCGCGATTTCTCACATTATCATTTTTTTGATAATGTGAGAAATCAGGAAAGCACTTTTCATTATTTTTCACAGTGGTTCTGCTTATTGTGATATCACCTGTTTGACTCACGAAATCGTAATGACACGATTGCAAACAAACCATACCACGGGTGGGGTTTTGAACCCACTGTCAGAGTTTCAAAGCTCCAGACCTGCCCAGTGGCCAACGCGACGGTCTGGAGTTTTGAGACACTGATCGTGAGTTCAAATCCCATCCGTGGTATGGTTTATATCACCTGTTTACTGTGCTGTGCCACTCACAAAGTGCAGCTACGTTCTCGACCCTGATTAAACGAGCAGTTATATCCTCCTCCTCAGTGTATATTATTGGTTTATCTTGTGGGACGTATTTTTTCATTAGTCAGTCTCTTGGTATCTGTCCCTCAGTCCCAGGGGTTGTCCAGCTGTGTCCTGGGTACGTTCTTCGCTCCTTCCTCTCACAGGTTGAGATTCCTCCTTGTTTCAATATTCTGCTGCTCTTTCCACCACATCTTGCATACATGTACATACATACAAACTTTATTGTTACATAATATTGCAAAATACACAACCTGCAAATGGGGGAGAGAAGCTTGCGACGACGTTTTGGTCTGACTTGGACCATTCGTCACACTCTGACTTGAATGGTAACTTAAATGGTCCATGTAGGAGCGAAACGTCGTCGTAAGCTCCTGTCTTCTGTGAGCATGTTATTTGTGTGTTATTCCAGGCACAGTATTGTGCTTTTCTGTTCTTCATTACAAAACGCGAAGATAAAATTCAGAATACTGAATACAGAAGGTTTTTGTGTCTATTAGCAATAACATTGAAAAATGTCATCTAGCTTCTCAGAGCTGGGGCGCTCACCTAGGATATAACAGGTATTACCCCTCTGAACCACAACACTGAGCTGCTGTAACAGAAAGCTAGCCGCCTTGGGATCCTTAGTTGCCCTGATGAGTCTTTTGCCTAAATTCTTAAGGAGAGTCTCTGAGCCTTTGGGAACAAGCACATAATGATGGGCAAGTTGGCCATATTTTCTAGATTTTGTGGACTCGCTGAAGTTGCCATTCTTTCTTCCCTACTGTACTGGAGGTAGGTACCATTTAGTATGGACTTGTATTATTTGGTATCAGCTAGTATAGACCTGTATTATTTGGTACCAGCTAGTATAGACCTGTATTATTTGGTATCAGTTAGTATAGACCTGTATTATTTGGTATCAGCTAGTATAGACCTGTATTATTTGGTATCAGCTAGTATAGACCTGTAATATTTGGTATCAGCTAGTATAGACCTGTATTATTTGGTATCAGCTAGTATAGACCTGTATTATTTGGTATCAGCTAGTATAGACCTGTATTATTTGGTATCAGCTAGTATAGACCTGTATTATTTGGTATCAGTTAGTATGGACCCACATGTATTGTCCCACACCACTTATTGCCATCTGTCCAGTCTTGCAAAGTAATTCCATCTGCACACTTTTGGGTCCCAGACTATTCAACATCTTACCAGAAGATATCAGAAACACTGTTGGAACAAGTGTAGAAGCCTTCAAGAGGAAACTGGACAAGTATCTTCACCAGGTGCCAGATCAACCAGGCTGTGATGGATATGTGGGGCAGCGGGCCTCCAGCAGCAACAGCCTGGTTGACTAGGCAAGCACCAGATGAGCCTGGCCCGTGGCCGGGCTCCGAGAGTAGTGAAACTCTCGAAACTCCAAAGGTATATCAAAGGTAAGGTATAACAGAGATAAGGCATACAATATTGCAGATCCACCTGCGTTCAACGTGAATAGGGGTACCTAGAGGATGCTTTTGTGCTTATCGTTCTCGGGGTCCAGTCCTGGACAGACCTCTTGGTGGCTAGAGGCCTTGTCAAGCAGACTGTTACTGCTGGCTGCATGCTGTCCAACATACAAAGTACAGCTCGTAGTGCGGAAGCTGGAAGGTGAAGTGTAACACCGATATAAATGGTCTGTAGGTTGAGGTGTGCCCTCAAGAAGCTGGGAAGAGCCAATAGAAAATCCCCAGTATGAGGGCTCTCACTTCCAGGAGGCCATGAAATATTCTTTACCAGAAAACATGTTTAATTCATGTTATAGTAGCTTTACCAACTGCCTAAAAGATAACTAATGAGGGAAGGAAGAGCTTAACAGCTATCATATCCAATATGAGAACTGTTAAGCTGACTGATGACAGCCTGTCAGCACTCAGGTACTGACAGGCAAGACATAGTTCTCATTCAGTGGGTGTTGAGAGAGATGTGTGGGTTGATTGAATTGGTGGGGGATGGAGGAGAGGGAGGGGGAAGCAGGAAGGGGAGAGAGGAGGAGGGGGAGAAGCAGGGAGGGGAGAATCTCATCTGGGATATTCATTCATGGGTGGGCGGTAGCAACAACAACAATGTTTTTCTCACGTCTCTTGCGTTAAGATCCTTCTGACTTCCGCCGCCGTTGTCGCTGGCTACAACGTACGAAAACGAACGTTATGAAAGATGGCGTTCAGATGAGTCTGGCGTGGGACCGGGCCGCGGGGACGCTGAACCCCCCGGGAACGACTACTGGTGATCCACACTTTGAAGAATGATACCATGATGAATTTACCTGGACGAAGTTTCGGGTTCAACGCCCCCCTTGTGGGTTGTGATCACTGATTCAACCCACTTTCTCGCCCACCTAACCAGCGTCTTTATCAGAACTCACTTTGTGTTGTCCAGGATGAAGCGCGAAACCCGTCATTAATGTGGGTTTATAAACACATCAACACTTTTCGAATACCATTGCAGTACTACAGTTATCAATATCGAAAGCGTCAAAGGTTAGTTCTGTATTTTTGGTAAATTATAATCTCAGAACAACAGGGGTTTTTGGTAGAATTTTTTTTTTTTATTTTTACCAGACGAGCCTTGCCTATGGCCGGGCTCCGAGAGCAGTAAGACCGATACTCATCAAAGATAAAGGTAACGTATATTGAGCTTCTTATATCATATCACAATTGTCTGGGTATTTTTTATTTTTTACAGCCTACTTAAATGAACTGACCAAAATCCAGCATTTATCAGAAGTACCTTACAAACACGTTTCGCCCAGTCCTTAGATCACCCTGGAGTACATTCCTCTTGGTGTTTGTCTTGCATCAGCTTTACATCATCAGTAAACATAGATTCGACCTTGAGTATGAGAAGATGGCACAGTACTGGACCTTGTAGTACCCCAGACGTTCCTCCCTCGCTCTAAGCGTTACTTTCTGTGTTCTTCCTCTTAGATGCTTCTTGATCCACTCACATACCGTCTTTATTCCTCTGTTTATACCTGTGTGTGAGTGGGTGGGGGGTGCTCACCTATATGTAAAGGGGAATTTTTAAAAAAAAAAATTTTTTTTGGGAGGGGGGGGAACCCCCCCCGGGGGGCCCCCCCTTGGGGGGGGGGTTTTTGGGGGGGGCCCAAAAACCGGGGCCCCCAAACCCCCCCCCGGGTTTTTGGGGGGGGGTTTCCCCCAAAACCCCCCCTTTTTTTTAAAAAGGGGGTTTTTAAAAAAAAAACCCCCCCCTTTTAAAAAAAAAAAAAATTTTAAAAAAAAAAAACCCCCCGGGCTTTTTAAAAAAAAAATTTAAAAAATTTAAAAATTTTTAAAAATTTAAAAAAAAACCCAAAAGGGGTTTTTTTTAAAAACCCTTTTTTTAAATTTTTTTATTTTTTGGGGGGCCCCCTTCCCCCGGGGGGGGGGGGGGGTTTTTTTTTTTAAAAAGGAAAAATTTTCCTTTTTCCCAAAAATTGGTTTTTTTTTTTCCCGGGTTTTTTAAGGGGGGAAAAAAAACCCAAAAAAGTAAAAAAAAATTCGTAAAATTTAAAACCCCTTTAAATTTCCCGGTGCCCGGGGCCCCCCCCCAAAAAAAACCTTTTTTCCCTTTTTGAGAAAAAAAGGGGAAAAATTTTTTTTTTCCCCCCCCCGGGGGAAAAAAGGGTTTCCCCCCAAAACCCCCAAAAAAAGGGTTTTTTTTTCCGGGGGAAATTTTTGGGGGTTTTTTTTCCCCCGGGGGAAAGAAAATTTTGGGGCCCCCCCCCCCAAAAACCCCCCCAAAAAAACCCCCCCCAAAAAAGTTTTGGGGGTTCCCCAAAAAAACCCCCTTTTGCCCTTCCAAAAAATTTTTTTTTTGGGGGTTTTTTTTTTTTTTTTTTTTTCCCCGGGCCCTTCCAAAAGGAAAAACCCCCCCCCCCCCACCCCCTTTTTTTTTTTTTTTAAACCCCCCCCTTTTTTTCCCCCCCAAAAAAAAAATTTTTCCCAACCCCCCCCAAAAAAAGGGGGGGGTTTTTTTTTTTTAAAAAAAATTAAGGGTTTTTTTTTTTTAAAAAAATTTGGGAAAGGGAAAAGGTTCCAAAAGGGGAAAAAAGGGGAAAAAAATTTTGGGATTTTAAAGTTTTTTTTTGGGGGAAAAATTTTGGGGGGTTTGGGGGGCCCCCCCGGGGGGGGGGGTTTTTAAAAAAAAGGGGGGGAAGGTCCCTTTTAAAAAATTTGAAACCCCCCCCCCGCCCCCCCTTTTTAAAAAAGGGTTAAAAAGGGAAACACAACACACAAAAAACACACACACACCCCCCCTTTTTGGAAACGGGGCCCCCCGGAAAAAAAAAAATTTTAAAAGGGGGCCCGGGTTAAAAAACCCCCAAAAAAAACCCCCCAAAAAAAAAAAAAAAGGGGGTTGGGGGAAAAATTCCCAAGAGCTAAGGGGAATGCCCTTTGAAAAAAGGGTTGGGGGAATCGGGCCCGACAACACTGAGGGCAGGGGGCAAAGGAAAAAAATGATAACGACATACAAAATACGCGTGGAATAACAAGGTGGGGCAGACAGGATGTTTTCCCAAAATGGGACACAGAAAAAAGGGGTCCCCAATGAAGCTAAAGACTCGGATGAGTCAAAAGGGATGTTAGGAAGTATTTTTTCAGTCATAGAGTAGTTGGGAAATTTGGAACGGGTCTGGCAAACGATGTAGTGGAGGCAGGAACTATATATAGTTTTAAGATGAGGTATGATAAAGCTCATGGAGCAGGGGGAGAGAGGACCTAGTAGCGGTCGGTGAAGATGCGGGACCAGGAGCTGAGTCTCGACCCTTGCAACCACAATTAGGCGAGTACAATTAGGTGAGTACACACACACAGTAATGTATAACCCACCACAGAACTGCAAGAGGCCAAGAGAGGAATATGAGTGCAACAGAGCAATGGTGGACACTCTAGCTGAGGTGGCAAGAAGGTCCCACTCAAGTAGAGCGAAGTTACTGGTCATGGGCGACTTCAATCACAGGGAGATTGATTGGGAAAACCTGGAGCCACATGGGGGTCCCGAAACATGGAGAGCCAAGATGATGGATGTGCTGGCAAATCTCATGCACCAACATGTTAGGGATACTACCAGAGAGAGAGAGAGGGGGGAAGGATGACCCAGCAAGATTGGACCTCTTGTTCACCCTGAGCAGCTCAGACATTGAGCATATCACATATGAAAGGCCCCTTGGAGCTAGTGACCATGTAGTTATGAGCTTTGAATACATCGTGGAGCTAAAAGTGGAGAGGGTAACAGGAGTAGAAAGGAAAAAGCTAAACTATAAAAGGGGGGACTACACAGGAATGAGGACCTTCCTGCAGGAGGTTCAGTGGGAACAGGAGTTGGTAGGAAAATCAGTAAACGAAATGATGGACTTTGTAACAACAAAATGCCAAGGATGCAGAGGAAAGGTTTTTTCCCAAAGGGGTAACAGAAATAGGGGAAGGACAAAAACGAGCCCTTGGTTACCCGAAGGTGCAGGGAGGCAAAGGCTAAGTGCTCTAGAGAAGGGAAAAAAAGTACAGAAGGCAAGGCCCTCAAGAGAACAAAGAGATTAGTCGACGAGCCAGAAAGGGGGTATGCACAGATAAGGAGGGAGGCGCAGCGGCAGTAGAAAATGACATAGCATCGAAAGTCAAGTCTGACCCGAAACTACTCTACAGCCAATCAGGAGGAAGACAACAGTCAAGGATCAGGTAATCAGGCTGAGGAAAGAAGGTGGGGAGCTCACAAGAAACACCAGGAGGTATGTGAGGAGCTCAACATGAATTTCAGGAAGTTATTTACAGTGGAGGCTGAAGGGACAACGGGAAGACAAAACAGTGGGGTACAGCAAAAAGGATATACCAACAAGTGTTGGATGAATTACACACAACTGAGGAGGGGGTGGAGAAGCCCTGAGTGACCTTGATACCTCAAAGGCGGTGGGACCGGACAACATCTCTCCCGTGGGTCCTTAGAGAGGAGGAGGGACACTGGTGTCCACTAACCAAAATCTTCAACATTTTCCTTGAAACTGGGCAACTACCTGAAGTATGGAAGAAGACAAATGTAGTCCCCTCTTTAAGAAGGGGGACAGAAATGAAGCACTAAATTATAGACCAAAGTCACTGACGTGTATAGATGCAAGGTCTTGGAAAAGATTATCAGGAGGAGAGTGGTGGAGCACCTGGAGGAACAAGATTATAAACGACAGCCAGCACGGATTCATGGAAGGCAAATCCTGTGTCCCCAAACCTATAAAATTTTATGACAAGGTAACTGAAGTAAGAAAAGAGAAGGATGGGGGGGTTGATTTCATTTCTTGGACTGCAAGAAGGCCTTCGACACAGTTCCTCAAAAAGAGATTAGTACAGAAGCTAAGGAACAGGCCCCAATATAACAGGAAGGGCACTGCAGTGGATCAAGAATACTTTAAAAGGGAGGCAACAGCGGTCATGGTCCGTGATGAGGTATCACAGTGGGCGCCAGTGACGAGTGGGGTCCCACAGGGGTCAGTCCTGGGACCAGTGCTATTCTTGGTATAGGGGAAAAGACATGACGGAAGGGAAAAGACTCAGAAGTGTCCCTGTTGCAGATGGCTTGAAGTTAATGAGGAGAATTAAATCAGACGCGGACCAGACAGGTCTACAAAGAGACCTGGACAGGGTGGATGTGGTCCAGAAACTGGCTCCTAGAATTTAACCCCGCCAAATGCAAATAGAAGATCGGAGGAGGCAAAGAAGACCGCAGAAGAGTATAGGCTAGATGCGTAAGGGTGCAAACCTCACTCAAGGAGAAGGACCTACGAGTTAGTATAATACCGAGTACATCGCCAGAAGCACACATTAACCAGATAACTGCTGCGGCATATGGGGGCCTGGCAAACCTGATAATAGGTTCCGGTACCTCAGTAAGGAATCGTTCAAGACTTTATACACTGTGTACGTCAGGGCCTATACTGGAGTACGCAGCACCAGTTTGGAACCCACAACCTGGTCAAACACGTCAAGAATTTGATAAAGTGCAAAAGTTTGCAACAAGGTTGTTTTCCCAAACTAAGGGGAATGTCCCATGAAGAAAGGTTTAAGGGAAAAACGGGCTGAAACACTGGAGGACAGGAGAGTCAGGGGAGACATGAAAACGACATACAAAATACTGCGTGAATAGACAAGGTGGACAGAGACAGGATGTTCCAGAGATGGGACAGAAACAAAGGTCACAATTGGATGTTTGAAGACTCGGATGAGTCAAAGGGATGTTAGGAAGCATTTCTTCAGTCATAGAGTAGTTAGGAAGCGGAATAGTCTGGCAAACGATGTAAATGGAGGCAGGAACATACATATTTTTTTTAAAACGAGGTATGATAAGCTCATGAGCAGAGGGGGAGAGGACAGTAGCGGTCGGTGAAGATGCGGGGCAGGAGCTGAGTCCCCGACCCTTGCAAACCCCAATTAGGTGAGTACAGTTTTAGTACACACCACACACACACACACACACACACACACACACAACACACACCACACACCACACACACAACAATGTGGGACCAATAAGATATCCCCTTAGCACTGCATGGCATAGAGAATCTGGGTGACCCATTAACAAAAATATATAATACATTAATTAGAAAATTGGCAGTTGTCCGCAGCTGGAAGACTATAAATGTGATCCTAATATACACGAAGGATAATAGTCAGGACTCGAGGTTAAAGTCACATGGTTTAAATTAAATGTTTTCTTGA